AAGTGAGAAGATTATTAATTCACCTTAAATGTGCTTATTAATTTCAACATTATTTGGCAAATGTTCCTCTTTTCAGTAATTAATTTTCTCTTTGAATGTACTGACAGGACCTTATAAAATTTCAGAGTATTTTAAGATTTTGATGGGTTGCTCAGCAACATATGAAATTAAGTTGTGTTTAAATCTCCACAGCAAGTATCTGTGAACAGCGGTTCTTACAATGGGACATAAATCTCAACCATCTTTTATCGATTTTCCTACTTACATGCATGATAACTAAAAAGTATTTCAGAGTCACAAATCCAAGCAACTGAAATATTTTCTTTAAATATATGTTTTGTCTTTTCTGTTTCATTCAGCTCAGAATTGAGCTCTTCACATAAAGGCATGTCTCGGATTCCCTTGTCAGGAGCCCTCTGTGGGTGCAAACCCCTCTACATGTGCTGCTGTGCTTTCAGTAGGAAATCAGTCAACACCAGTTCTGTAAAGGCAACGTGAGTCACCTTCCTTTAGTGCGTCTTTTGGGGTTTGTATTTCAATTATAACACCTGTTGTTGTGGGAATTACTTTGCTTTTGAGGCTCTGGTTAGCTCTGTGGCAAGCAGGTAGCAACCTTTTAACTACACTTGATACTATTTCTACTGCTTAGAGAAAGTGGAAGAAAGACATTTGGAAACCCTGTACTGAAATCTACTCGTTTCCACCACAGCTACAATGAATAGCTGCGTTTGGATTAGAATCTAAGTGATCTCAGGAGATGATAAGAGCATTATAGTGATGTGGCTGGGCTAGATGAAGAGATATTCTTCCTTTCACTGCACCCACCAGCCAAAGTCAGGCTAAGCCTCTGCCTACAAATGATTGCATCACGTTAGATGTTTTAGCTTCCTTGCCTCCTGCACTGATGTGACAGCACTCCCTAGGGAAGACAACCTTTTACTATTATTAGTTAGAGCCTTGACCCTGAAACTTCTGTTGTCAGCCCCTTAAGGATACATAGGAAAATGGTGCCATGCTGCTGTCCTCTGTGAAGATGAGGTGATCAAACACGTTTAAGCTCCTTGAAAGAAAAGCTACCCATACACAGGCTCTGTGGCCTATAAAAGGAATTACAAAAATCCATCTGAGATGTAATGAAAACATGAATTAATGACTTGTATCCCTCTGTGAGTCCTGGCCTCAGCTTTGATAGACTCCAAGTAAAACATTCAATGAATGGCCCCGACTTTATGTTCAAAGTGTCACAAATATAAAACTGGCAATTCAGGTTTGATGTGTTTTGCCCCCAAGAAATATTCAAAAATACAGGACTGACTGTCACTCTAATTGTGCAGGTGAAACAGCAATGGTTTCCTTGGGGTCTTATGGGACTGAAGAAAGACCTTTTGTGTAGCTGCCTAACTGCAGGTTCCTGTTACCACAGAGCAACAGGGTTCTGCTCCCCAATGACCTCAGTACATAACCAGGCTGGGTAAACACACTTAATTAAAATGTAGAAAACAAACCAAAACAAAACAGAACAAATCTTCAATGACTGAAACAAGTCAACAAACCTGCTAGGGACCAAAAGACCAAACCAGCCCAGCAACCCCAGTATCTCAAAATGATTTTTCAGCCAAAGATTTCAGGAGATGATATTTTCACAGTGGTTTCCAAATGAAAAGCAAGATTTACTGTCATTGCTCCTACTGAAGTTTTCAGTGACAAAATGTTCAAAACCAGTCAATGCTTTCAAAGGAAAATAAAGCTGCTTTTTCTCTCAGAAATCCTGCTGTCTGCCAGCGTTGACACAAAACTCGCTCTTGACCAGGCTCCTGAATGCTCAGCAAGCTCAGCAGGCTGGTGTAATTGTTTTGTTTATTTATAAGCGTGGCGAGTTTCCTACTGTAGCAGCTACCACATTTAAATGATCTTGGCAAGAGTGAGGGCATACAGGATACCTTCTGAAGAAGGACCATGTGATTGCCTGGCAGGCAATTTCCTTTTCTTTTAAAGCCCAAAACACATCTTTTCAGCCTCTCCTAAGTGTTACTATTTCTGAGGGTATTTGAAGCAGGTAAAATAGTAGGACTGCTAAAAGCGAGATAAACAAGGAGCCCAGAAAAAAGCCTCACACTGACCTTGAGGCAGAATACTGAGGGCTCCCCAGGCAGGTTTTTCTTCCTCAGTACAACCACTCATGGCTGACAAATACATTACTTAGAATTTCTGCAAGGTATTGTAAAAGTCAGAGCATTTTAGCATCCCAGAAAGCGAAAGAGGAAATCTTTTGAAACTTAAGGAGCACTTTTCTGGACCCGTAGTAAGTATCCAGTCCCCTAAATGTACCTGAATAGACCTTTGGAGGAAGCTGGAATGCCTTTCAGACCAAGCACATATAAACACAACACCTAGTTACAAGAGGAACCAGAAAAAAACCAAATCCAAGTTACTTGGCAAGTTCACAGCATGTCAAGTGCTGCTTGCTGAGACAGTCAGTAAGGCTGTGACAGATGGCCCCAGAAAGGACACTGGTGCTGAAGCATCAGGTAATGGATGTTCCAGTGAACACTTCTGTAAGTCTTTGTCTCATGTCTTTATGAATTCTTTGTCACCTCTCCTGTTTTCCAGGGAAGAAGTCAAGGGGTTTTGTATGGGATTTCATGTTGCTAGGGAAGGTTTCAAAGGTTTCATGCTGTCTTACTGCAAACATTTGGGGTTGGTTTTTCCCTTTCCCTATTTCTCTCTTCTGCACACTACTCAGCACCTCAGAAGAGCAAAACATAGTCACATAATTTTCATAATCAGTTGATGCCCATGGCAAATCCAGCAGGTTAAATGCACAGTGCTTCTGTGCAGGCCAAACATCTGACACACTCCCTCCATTCTGCTGTCTCTTTTCCTAACACACAGAGGAAAGGGTGAGTTCTGCAGGGCTTCAGGAACCCTTGTCCCTGAGTGGTGCTATTTGAGCTGACAGAGGAAGCAGACTGTGCAGCCGTGAATCCCTCTCCTAACTCTGCCCTTCTGGCCAATGCTTCTCATCCGCACAAGCAGGGCTCTCCTTGAGTGCCTGCCCTGAGGTGCTCTCTGTGGCAGATTCACCCTGGCAGCTTGAAGCTTCAAAACATGAAGTCCACAGTTTTATATCAGCCAGCATCGCTCAGCAGCTCATGCTGGCCATGAGTTTTTAGCTACTTCATATGATTATGATGGGAAACTCCAATCAGGAAGTAATGAATCTGTTGATTTCAAAGCCCATCTAGGCAGTGCAGTGTAAATTCATGCTATTCATTGATCACTGCATTGATCACTTGAGGTTTTGGGAGGAAATTAGCCAGTGAAATTGTTTCAAAACCCCACACTGTGAATGTCAGCCACATCTCAAAATAATTTGGTTTTTAAATTCTCCCTACACATCTTATGCAAAGAAGAGTTCCAAAATCATGCTTCCCCACCTCAGATTGAGAATTAAACTACAAATGCTTTGTGTAAGCCATCTAGTTCCTACTGTCCACATTCATTAAGAAAGTGCTATCAGAATTGGGATCCTGCTGGCTACAAACAACTTCACAAACTGATCCAAAACTAAAATGCCATCTAGGATCGAATTCGACAGCTGCTGAGATTCAGCCATTTCTGGAACAAACAATGACAATTGCTTACAGGACCTTAAAGCAAAATGATGTTAGACACACAGCCAGAAATACAGCACCAAGTGCAATCAAGTGAAAATTACAAATTTCCAAGGTGTTACAACTTGCTCTCAAAGTTATCCAGACCACTAAAAGTTTTGTCTGCTCTGAGATATTCTTTGATGTGTTGATGAACTATTAAAACCAAGCCAAATTAAAGTTCTTTTGTTAGCATGCCCTAGCTATTAGAAATACAATTTATTTTCCCCTGCAAGAGTTTTGGAAAGTTTCAAGGTGATACAATTTTGGAGAACAAAAGGAAAAGCCATGAAAAAATCCAAACTTCCTCATTCCTGCTTTATTTCACTCTGTAGAGTCTCTCAGCAAAAACTATTCCCATCCTGTGAGAAACAATGCACCATTCACACCTGCTCAATAAGCAAACATGTTTTATGTAGTTGTGAAGTAATATAATCAGTTAGCGTTATACTGAAATTAGAAAAATATGAGTAGCAGTGTCTGGTAATGGTTTGTGGATGGTCTCTATGTTGTTCAGTGAACTCTAAATTACAGTCCCAATGGTCCCTGAAATGAAGGATAGTCCTCAGGCTATCTGTGTACTGCTACTAGTAATTTGTACCAAAATTCGTGTGTTTGTAAGGGCTATTTTTATCAGCATTTGTTTATTCATTCATTTATCTTCAGCCTCATTAAAATCAGCATATTAGCATGTAAAGTGGAGTTCAGATTGGCCAATTTGACTTCAACGACTACCAACAATCCAAACATGACATTCCCCATACTAGATACGGAGTCAACACACAGCCAAGAGATGTACATCACTAAGAAACAGCCTTTCCCTGTGGAGCCACCTTTTTGCTACAGTCACAAGCAATTGTGATGGAATAACCAGAAGTCAACTCCTGATATCAGTTACAGTGGTCTAATTTACCTGTTATCAAAGCAGTGACTTTTGTTTTACCTCACTGTAATGGGGATCAGAGTCCTGACTGAATATTCCATACATACACACCACATAAACATAATACTACTAGCACCTGAGACAAGACTAACATCTCAATGTGTTTATTTCCATTTGTAGCTTGCATGGTAAATGTATTGCAATGATAAGTGCTTTTTCCCATGTCCTCCTGTATTTTCACCTTTGTTACTGATTTCTCCCATCTTCAAACACTTTATGATCTGCTAAGTCAAAAGGAATAATTTCAGTGTTAAGGAATGGATCAGGACACAACCCTGAACAGAAGCAAAGAAATGCCACTTCTGTGTGAGCCTGTTGTTGCATTAGCAGTGCTGCTGGAGGTGAAGAAGCCCAAACCTCTCCAGGGCCTGGTGTCAAGGCAGGTGGTGTGAGGAAGTGCCTACCTGAAGACGGCGAGGCTCAAAGACCAGAGCACTAGCGGCTTCCTCAGCTCAAACTTTGCTCGTTTGTTCATTAGGTGCCGACCACCAAATATAAAGGCAGCGTACAGAGCTGAAAACAGGAATGATTTCTTCCTGCAAAACAAAACCAAAAAACACTTGTCAAATGTTTAATTAATATTAGATGCACAGCAGAGTCACATATGGACAACATGGCTAAGGGCTTGTGTGCTTCCTTGAAAGGAAACTCTTTCAGAGACATTCCTGCATTCCAGCTGAGCTTATCATTTCAGTATGAAACTACATGCCTGCACACACTCAGGGCTGGGTTCAGGCAAAACTGACCCTGGGGAAGTTCTGAAAAAGGACAGACAAATTTGGCTCCCATTCTTCACCAGTTTCAGAAGACTGAACTTCTGTGAGGAAGAGAATAGATGTGGCAGAGCCCAGACACACTTCTGCAAGCAAAACATGGCTGGAACTTGAACCAGCTGATCACATTCTGTGCCTCATTTATCTTTTTCATACAAATTTTTGTTTCCTGGAGGATCCTCCCTATGTGGCATTTTAGTTTCCCACTGTTTCCCCTAAAAAGACACTTAAAGATCATTAGCCCTGCAACACACCATGATGAGCCTCACAGGAAGCAGAGGATCAGCAAGGAGAGGTCAATAGCCCCATCAAGCAGCAGAACCATGCTGGTTGGTGCTGCCCTGTGGCATCGCCCTGCCTGTGACTGCTGGTTCAGGAAATCCAATGCATTTGCTGAAAGGTCAAGCAGAGCTCTCTAAAGGAACTTCAATTATACTCTTCAAATTGCAAATTTTATTTTTAAAACTGCCTGATAGTAGTCCAGCTCAGCAATAATCACCAAATATTTGAACTCTGCTACTGTAACTCATTTTAAATCAACCATTAGAGGTCCAAAATAGACTAAGCCTGGGACTCCTTCCCACACAGCACAACATTATACTGACTAAGGCTTCATAATGTACATCATTAATGGTAGCCTAACTGGAAGGGCATCTATTCAAAAACAGAATTTTCTCTACATAATTTATCATTACATTCACAAATATAGGAACTATGGACTATAGTTTTGAACCAGGAGTTTCTGGCTCCTATTGTACACCAAGAAAGAATGACAAATACTCTCAAGAAAGGTAACTACTTCATTAACGTGACTGAAAAGAACAGCAGCAGGCTACAGGACCTTTATTTCTTTCTGACACTGAAGGGTAGCTGTGGCAGACAGGCCTATGATCAGGGCATGGCATACTGCCCAGGCTTCCCACTGGGAGAGAGGCTCAGCCATACTGAGGTGTTCAGACTTTTCACAGGATTTTCAACTGGCGTTTAAATGACAGTATGTTGCTTCACCTCAAGATAAAAACAAGTATGTGTCATGGTGTCACTACTGGTACCAAGTAGATGCCACCTTTGGGCTCTTCCATTGTGACTGGCTAGCTGAGGTTATCTCATGGCAAGGAATCTGTCCAGCACAGCACAGCATGGTCCTGAGGGCCAAGCAGTGTGGTACAGCATGGTATGTGCCTGTGCCTCCTCAAGGCAGCTGGTAATGGATCATGAGACCCTCGATGGCCAAGGGTCTTCCTGGAAGGTTCAGAAAAACTAAGAAAGCTGCAGCACATCTGACTGGAACCTTCAATGCAACCTTCAATCAAGATAAATGAATTGAATTTTATATAAGTTTGGAAGCTAAGTAAAAACTAACCCAAGAGAGTCAGATGCGTATCAGTAAGCATTCTGCAGCATGCCATTTTCTGCCCACTGAGAAACTCTGTTTCTACTGATATATTTATAGCTCTGTGTTGTAAAAGGCAGGTAACCGCATGAAAACACACCTGATGCTCTGAGAAGGGGAGGACCCAGTGCCTATAATCCACTGGGTGAGCTTTAGCATCCATGCTGGCAAAACCCCCAGGAAGACCCAGGAGCCAGCACCCTCTCACCTTGTGCACTGAGATGGTCTAATTGCCAGGGCAATGGTTATCATGACCAGGGTTTGAAAATGACAAAGCATCAGCCCTTATTCATATAATACAGAAAAAAACCCATTTATTTCTACTTCACTGGCCAGGGAAGGGACAGAATCACCAATTTGAAAGCATGACTGCACTTTAACTTGGCTGGAGATCAGTAAATATTTGTTAACCAGTCTGGGTAATGATGAACCACCTCAAGCTTGCTCGTACTGAACCACCTAACTGTTTACACAAGATTTATGGGTTGAAAGATAGAAGCAGACTCTTAGTGTGAGTCTGGACTGCATTCCCATCTCCTTCCCTCTGCAGCCTTTTCAGCAGCAGTGTGAAGCCCAGCTCAATGCCACCCTGGGCATGCGTGAGGTCTGTCCTGCACTGATCTCCAAAGCAACTGAGAGCAGAGCAGGATGACACCCCAAGTAATGCAGGGGAAAAGAGTGCCATGCAGTGCTGCCATGCAGCTGCCAACACAGCACAGGCCATGCAGGCTGCCGTGGGAGGATGTCAGGATTCAAGAGCAGGAGCTAGAGACACTTTGCAAAAGGCAAGTTGGAAACAGTTCAGTTCTAGATCAAACACAGCTGAGACTTCAAAGTAACGATTCAACTTCAGCTCCAGTTCAAGACAAGAAAAGCAGTCTGAATGAGTTAACAGTTCAGGTCTATATTCTGTCTGTCTCCACTTCACCCTGAGCCAGATAATCTATATATTTACATCAAGTAACATTTCATTTTGCTTCTTATTACTGAAACTATCTTTTGTGAGTTCAATCAATTTATTGAGGTCAATAGTTATGTTACAGTAATTAGAATAGATAAATTTTAGGTCACTTTAGAGCTTTGTAATGAGTACAGCATTATTTACAATGACAGTAAATGGTACTCCCAGAGTATGTAGCTTTGTATCAGCAGTGGCAGACATGGCAAGATTTGACTGCAAACATGATGGGAACTGCAGAGAGCAGTTGTCAGCAGTTTCAGACAAGGAGGGACACACTAGTATTATCTCCCATCAGAGGTAAGCACAATACTGAATAATGATTAGGCTGATCTTGAAATCATCCACTGTTTTGATCCCTGCTACTTTTTGCACTCAAAGGACTTTGAATTTTCCCCATTTTTTCATCCTAATAATGGTTAAAAGAACTGGACAGGCCAGGTGACAGAGTTACAAAGGGGTTGCAGAGGTATGTACTCTTAAGATAATCTGATAAACTACATTAGACTGGTATTAACCAGTTTCCTACTAGTGTTTTTATGATGGATTTTTGCAAAGGTTCATACTACAGTGTGGTGCTGGGCTAGTGACATAAAGCAATGGCAAACTGACAGAATTGAATTAGGTCTGGTACGATTTTAGCCAAAGGAGAGAAATATTGAACAAGCATTTTGAAAGACAGAGGTTTGGAGTTGTTCTGTAATGTACCTTTTCAATACTATTACCCGAAAAGAAACTAAATGGAGCAGAACAATGACCAAAAAAATTGAACTTGAAACTAAAAAAAATAAAATTCCTCAAAGTAATTCGGTAACAGACTTGCATCAATAACTTAAATGTTAGCACATTCATATGTTTGTCTTCAATTCTGTTCTGCAGGGTAACACAGTAGACATAAAGACAAGGCTGCCAAATCCTCCACATTTTTCTGGCATTTCTGTTTCTCACAGTTGTCTCCCACCTTCCTACATTTTCAGACTTCAGGGACTAAGTACTATCTGTACTGAATACAACTCCATGTTCCTCTGACAAAAGTTGCCAGCTCTTTCCCCCTTTATAGGCCTCTGGAGAACCTATTAAAAGCTATATTTGGGCTTACTACAAGAGAGGGAGGCAAGAGGGGCTATGGGCTAAAGATATGGGACAGATCTTCCAGGACAGTAGCAGAGAGATGGCTGAGTCATGAGGCAAAGGGAGAGGAAGAAGCTGGGACATGTGATGTGAGAAAGAGAAGAGAAAGGATGAACAGTAAGCATGGCAGCAAATGATGTGAGCTGGCAGCCATGAGATGGACATAAAGCTGGGACAGCATGGAAGGCCAAGAGGCTTGAAGTTCTTTCTGTGCTGGAACCCCTGGAAGGATCCTTCCTGCATCCATGGGCAGAGGAACAGAGACAGGAAAGAGGAAAAGTATAGCTGAGAAGAGGGAGGCAGAAACTGGGAATGATAGAGAAAGACAGAAACAAAGCTTTACTCATTTCCAGCAGGGAGTCCCACGCAGGAAAGCCCACTCAAAGCACCACAGAGTGACAAGAAGAGATAAGCCACCCAAGCCTCAGGCAGGAAAACACAGCACTAGGAAGGGGCAGCAAATAATCCAAAGAGGAAAGCAGTTGTAAACAAATGGCTAAGGATTAAGAAATCCTGATTTCCACAGAAGCACTTAATTTATAAAATGATGAAAATGTAATATGTAATGTTACCACACTATTCTAAAATTAGGGGCCGAAGCCTGAGGGTGAGCCTCATGTGCAGCAGCATGAGACATCCCCCTGTCTCTGATGCAAAGTGAAATAGCCCTGAATATTGCACCACTGCTGAAGGAGGTGGTTTCAAGCCCAGATGCACTGTTGCCATTTTTTCCCCCTGAAAATAGCAGCCTGAGTCATTATTGTAGAGTTCTCTGATGTTAATGAGTAAACAGATATATATATATATGTGTCTGTGAGAGTGTGTGCGTGTGTGTGTGTGCTATAAAATTGACTATTTCCACAGAATTTTCCTTAATTATTAAGGAAAGTCCTTACAGAAATGCCCAAAAGACAACCTTATCACAGATTGTTAAACTCTCATTTATCATGCAATATAGGATTATCTGCATAACAGCCTTCAGTAAAGGAGTAGTAAAGTGGTGTTAGCCCCCTCTTTCTACATTCCATAGGATTTTTAAAGCTTTTTTAAATCAAGATGTATTTACTTTGCACATTCAAGGCTCATTTTTAAATTCACTAACACTTCATCTGTTGTAAAAGGAGCACAACGGGTTAAAAAAATCCCACTGCAGTTGCCAGAGCAGAGTGTTGCTTGAAAGTAAACAAGCAGTTTCAGGTTCCTGACGTTATTCTCTTGGCCTTCATCACCATTTTACTGATGTAAAAAAAACCCAACCAGATTTACTGAAAAAAAAAAAAA